AAAAAAAACATATGGATGCAATGAAAAGGAGCTGACCAAGCGGATAGCACTTACTTTTTGGAAATAAAGCTTCGCAATCTTTGCTTCAAGTGTAAAAGCTTTGTATTCTTTCTCATCCACAACCTCACTGATGTTGTATGACATGATGCCTGAAAGGACTCAGTGGCTAAGAAAACTAGAATACATGATTTAACAACAAAGTTATTGTGTGTAGCAGCCAAAAAAGAGTATGAACTCGATATCCCTATTGGTGCGATATTTACACCAAACTCAAAACGTGTGGATCGAGCAGACAGCAAATCAAGATACTGTAGCAACGAAACCGCTAATTTCAGACAGGGTTAGGGAACTAAAAACATACCATGCCGATCAGAAAGTGACCTCAGTTTCCCAACAACGAGCACTTTGGTACCCTCAACAAAAACCGTCGCTCCCATGTCTGTATCGGACACCTAGAAAGTTATATGAAAATAATTATCGAAAAAGAATGGGAATAGAACATACTCCATTATATGTAAGGACTTCGAATTCTTTGTCCATGTCTTCTGGATCTCCCAGAACATGATTAGTTGTGTTCTCCTGTTCTGCCACGGATTTGACAACTCCTATGGTGAGCACCTGAATGAAACTAGGAACTCAATTTTGGGAGTTAGCACATGAACTCATGAATAAATTTTTATAGCAGTGTAAATTACTAAGCAGGAAATGGTCAGAACTCTACTCAGCCATGCCGAGCGTGCTGATCATCGGACTGGCCTACGCTGATCACAAGTATATTTTATCATCTACCAAGCGACTATCTGGAAGGAGTTATGAGCGTTCAGTGTGGCGCATGTTTCGCGGGAACTTTTAAAAACACTTGTTTGGTTTTAAGAATGTGCTTCTCCCTTGTAATTAAATCAGCCACAGCCACTGTAAATCCGTTAGCTTGCCTTTAAAGAATATTCGTCGAAACTCAAGAGATTTCCCACATTTGAACGCATATATCTTCTTCCAGACAATCCTTGGCAGATAGCAAACATATATCCAAAATCAGCGTTTCAATGCGAGTCCCATGATATACTGCTTACATTTCCTCGTAAATGTATGGTAAACAACAGTTCGCTAACTCC